ATATAACTTTTTGGTAAAAACTCAACTCGTCGTGTTTGGAGGACAAAGAATGCGGAGTTGCATCCAAAGAACACCATACCTACTGTGAAGCATGGGGGTGGAAACATCATGCTTTGGGGCTGTTTTTCTGCAAAGGGACCAGGATGAATGATCCGTGTAAAGGAAAGAATGAATGGGGCCATGTATCGTGAGATTTTGAGTGAAAACCTCCTTCCATCAGCAAGGGCATTGAAGATGAAACGTGGCTGGGTCTTTCAGCATGACAATGATCCCAAACACACCGCCCAGGCAACGAAGGAGTGGCTTCGTAAGAAGCATTTCAAGGTCCTGGAGTGGCCTAGTCTCCAGATCTCAACCCCATAGAAAATCTTTGGAGGGAGTTGAAAGTCCGTGTTGCCCAGCGACAGCCCCAAAACATCACTGCTCTAGAGGAGATCTGCATGGAGGAATGGGCCAAAATACCAGCAACAGTGTGTGAAAACCTTGTGAAGACTTACAGAAAACGTTTGACCTGTGTCATTGCCAACAAAGGGTATATAACAAAGTATTGAGAAACTTTTGTTATTGACCAAATACTTATTTTCCACCATAATGTGCAAATAAATTCATTAAAAATCCTACAATGTGACTTCCTGGAAAAAAAATTCCTCATTTTGTCTGACATAGTTGACGTGTACCTATGATGAAAATTACAGGCCTCTCTCATCTTTCTAAGTGGGAGAACTTGCACAATTGGTGGCTGACTAAATACCTTTTTTCCCCACTGTATAGCGGCTAGGCCACCCCGTGGGTTTGATGATATTGAACTTGGCAGTGCTTTGCGGGAATAGTCCTCAGACGACTTCTCTTCCCTCTGAACGTGTTGGCTCCACACATTGGCTTCCTGGCTCCACACCCTACAGCTGTGTTGACCTCTGCTGTGTTTCAGAGCCTTTTGTTTTTGTTAATCTCAGGTCGTTGTGTTTGAGGAGCAGGAAGCTGATGGTCAAATCCAATTCGCCAGCGAGCCTGACCTTGGAATGACTGTTGATGTATAGTGAGGATGGCCTGGTGGAATGGAGGTATGGTTAGGAGTTCCATCCTCTCACATTTTCAAACTGCCTGCCATCAGGGACCTAGCTAGATAGCTACTCAGAATTGATGCACATCACTGCAAATGGCATTTATTTCCTGTCGGGAAGCCCCAGCCTCTGAATGATCCAGACTAATAAAGCATCCTACTAGATCTTGCAAATGTAACTGTGCCTTCATTATATTCGATGGGTCACTGCAATATCTGTATTGCAATGTACTGCAATACCTTTACATATGTGTATTTTGAGAATTGTGTCAGGGATACTAATTTCAGGTATTTTAATGTATAGGTGTTTGTCCGGATTCAAGTACACATCTACTTGTCATTGTATTTCTTTGAATGGACAATTACAACGAATACACAGATTGTTCTTTTGAGATTAACCAGTGACGTGTGATGGTGAATTAAACTGAACCATCAGTGCAGTGGAGACTCTGAAATACAAAGACATTTGTCAAGTACTTCACTTTTCAGTTGTTTATTTGTCTTGATAAATGTCATATGGAATCTCTGAGATAGAGTCATGAGGAGAAATGAACAACCTTTAGAGTTACATGCAGAAGAAGTGATTCACACAAGGATGGAAGATGACTGTGGATCAAAGTAGGTAAAGGAAGGGGGAGTGGAGGAAATTGTGATTTGCCCTAAGAAAGCATTTAGGGCCTAGTATGAGCCATCACCTTTGTTACATTATGTATGTCCCACTACGAAGCTAAACACTGGATAAGGCTGTTCCTTTACGTTAAAGTCGTTTCTGACGGTCAGAACAGTATCGCTTGTTGATCGAGCTGTGAGAGTGTGAGAAAGCCAGGGATGGAAGGAGAAGTTTGAGTTTTGTACCATCAGAGTACTACAGCTAACTTATGATTATTTAAGTGATTACAACAGTGTAGGAGCAAGCGCCATTAAATGTCCAGGAGATGAAATTGCACTTCCATTATGTATAACTCATGGCTTAGTGTTGTCTGGGTTCATCTCTGCAGGGCTCTCTAGACAGGCCCAAACATTTTTCCTAAAATCACATTAATTAATACAATCAATTCTAAGAAAGGTAATTGAAAATGAAGGCTATTGATGGCGGTTGAAGTCAGAGCAATACAGAATTTATGTTAAATGTTGTGTCTCAGTTTGTTGGTGTTGCCCGCAAACCTAAATGTGACCTCAGAAGAGCTTGTCTGTGTGTGTTTTCTGAACCTCAGTGGCTGAGAGGCAGCGATAAGAGAAGAAGGGGGTGGGGGCAAACATGGACAAAGAAATGTTCAATTATAATTCAATTTTACAAGAGGACATTCATACTTCAAATAAATACATAAATAAATATATTACTATTGATTTTCGCATAAATAGACAGACTTCACTTGACATTTTGGAGAATGGAAACAGATCAGAAGACATTGATTCTTGCCTAATGATCTTAATGGTACTTTGCGTGCAATCCAAAGGCGAAAGATGAGGTCAACATGAAGATTAACAGCCACACACATTGTTTGATCTCAAAACATTCGGTTTGACTTCCTCAATGAAACAATACTATTTAATAGAAATGATCAGAAATGACATGTTGGTATGTCCACTTGACCTGATGGGGTAGCATATTTTTGGGGGAGCCGTATCCGATGGGGGAACAGCACCTGATGGGAAAACCGTATCTCTGATCTAATACTGCTTTGGATAAGTTAAAAGGCCATAACTATCCTGGTCATTGATCTTCCTTTTTCATAGTTTCCCATATTGTCTTCCCCTACATTTGAGGTATAACTGAAGGATATTAAGAAATTTAAACGGACATGAAACCTTAATACTGTAGCTGAGCGTAACACCAATTCAATTGTGCTTGTCATTTAGTTTTGCCTGCTATTGCCAAGAATTGTCACAAAGTGTGTCACAAAACTAACTTCAACCCGTATATGGTACAGTTTTATCAGGGCAAGAAACTAGGTTTGAGCATGCATGGATATAATGGTGTTGCAGACTGGGGTATCTTGCTAGAAGTTGTCCAAAGCAGAGGATCTTATTCTAGTTTTCATGGTATATTTTATTTGCCTTCTTACTCGCCTACAGTTCATAGACCCATTAATGAATGAGGGTTGTTTCTTGAAAACATTTAAGCATGATTGTCTGTCTACCTCTGATGAAACTGAGGTTAAATATTCAGTAATATTTCTACACTGCAGTGGGTTTATTGATGTAGCTGTTGTGCGAGCGCAAATATCTAACTTACGTACAGTAGGCAATACCCACTGTGAACCTGGATACTTATGCAGATTGTACTGTATATCTCAACTTGTACTGTCAGTGCCTTTAACTTGGATAACGTCATTGCTTTCTTTTGTCCTACTCTACTAGTTAGCTACTGTGGTTATATAAACCAGCATACTATATGGCCATCTGCCAAACTGCTCATCATTGGGTAATGGAATACTGTAACATATGCACAAAGTTGGGTTAAACCTAACTTGGTGGTGTGCCGTTATACTGTCCATGTGATGGAAAAACAGGAGAGAACATGTGCTATACCAGTTGTCATACAGTAAGGTGTTATTGGCAATTCTTAGTTTTGATTTTACATTTATATAAATACAGTAGTTACATTTTATCTGAGAGGACCTTACTATGAGTCCTCTAGTTGTTCCTGTGTTAAATTAGTATGTACACGTGTTGCCACTTAGGAACACCGTCACTGGCAATTTTAAGTGCTAAATTAAGTTTTGGGACTTTGACCTGTAATATTGTGTGCCTCCCAAGCGTTAGGAGCCCATCTTGATGTCAGTTATTTCAAGTGAATAGCTTCAGTACACACTGAATTACATGTCTGAGAATGACACTGAAAATGGATGGTGCCCCATCTTTAGCTTTCAAAATGGAGGCAAGAGTCAGTCAGTCATATTGAACTAGCAAGAAAATGCATGTAAACACCAAAAACAAACACATTAAATAAAAGCAGACAGTTTTAGTTATACAAAAAGGACATTCCTTCCCTTTTTGAACTTTCAGTGTTTGCTGAAAGTAGAATTGATCTTCTGAGAGAGAACTTGTTCGGATTCTCCATGATTGTTCGGTCTGAAGACATGGAGGCCATTTCAGTACATGTCTATTAAAGGTGTCCAGGGGCTCAGTGTCCAATCAGATCCTTCAGTCTCTTACAGACCCTACTAAGAGCTCATCCCCTGCCCTGTAGATCCACGTCTATAGAGGGAAAGCCAATGGATATCTCATTAGCCTGTTCAGGCCAGTAATGGTCCATCTCACTGGCTGCCTAACTCCCGCTCTCCCTGCAATGTGTGTGTTGTGCTGTCTCGTGTTAGGACACTACAGATGCAGTTTGGTGCCATGCAGGTTCCGAGAGCATCAATCTCCCGTTGATCCTTAATGACTCAGCTCTCACCGTTTGCTTCATGTTGGTGCTGCTAGCAACATTTAACCTGATAAATATTGCCATCTTGTACTAGTCTGTGCTTTAATATGATACATTTGTACTGTTTTAATCCCAATATTAAAAGTGTTTAGTTTCAGTCAAGGGGATTTTGCCCCCGAGGCAGTCTTTTCTGAGATGATTAAGACATGAACACTGTTTGCGCTGGGAGATGGCCTCTTTTTCTTCTCAGGGTCCATATTAGACAACCACCTGGAACAGAGAGCAGGGACTCACTGAGAAATTACACACATTCATAATTAAGTCAATTTGCAGTACAGATTAGTTTTAATAACGCTTACAGTTATTAGTGACCTTCTTAGCCCAAAAATGTGGGCGTCTGGAAAAGCAATGGATAAGTCAAACAAATCCCGAAATGTGTTTATCATTGGTATACCATTTCCCTGTTCGCCAGATGTTCTAAAAATATTTTTATATAAATGAGTAAATTAAGTCTGAGATGTGATCTCATTTGAATAATTTCTCTCTTTACCATCGCCCGAGGAGACAACGTCAAATCTCCACATTGGGGTCTGTAAATCCTTTCTTTCCCTCATTTACAAGGACAGGTTTTTCCGTCCTAGTGTGCCAAACGAGAATCTGTAGAGAAATATCAGAGAAAAGAATCAGCATCAGGCAGCACTCTCACGAACTAACACACACCCATTCACTCCTCCACACTCCTCTTTGCGTGGGCTGTGGCAATGTTCTTCTACTCCCAGATATAGCAACAAGAACAGTACAATAGGAAACCTATAAGTATGTACTCCGGCGTGTCAGCTCGGCCCTGCTTAACATTAGATGATAGTGAATAGAGAGTTCCCCCGTAGTGAAAAATAAGAACTTGCTCTTCTTTTTGGATCTTTGTAAGTGATGCAGCTCAGTTCTTTTGGGTGCGTCACATACCGGTAACTATAGCCCCAATCAAGCCTTTGGAGTGGGATGATTTGGCCCTGGAGACCAGACACACATCCAGGAGATTGATGGTGGAAATGAATCGACGTATAGAGCTCATTTTCTTCCTCTCTCCCCTCAGTCTCTGAGCAGCCCTACCTTTCATCTCCTCCACCTCAGTAATGAATTATGCATGAGGCGTGTTTGAGCTGCCTCCGCCAGAAGCCAACTCCCACTTTACCCAGGTGTAGATGAGGTTAATAGTCACACTTGCGTCTGAAGAGGTAGATTATAAGGAGGAGAGGTGCCGGAGCCCGGCTCAACCCCCATCCCTCTCCCTGTGCTCATCTGGGCTGAATGCATACTAGGACGCCCCCCTCTTTTAATCTACTCCCCTCCAGGAGTCCTGAATATAATCAGGCTGAATATCCCATCCTGTGAGTGTGAGTGGTGGTGAGCTAAGGCCCCTGGCCGACTCCTCTCTGCCCAGCAAGAGGCTTAGCGGCTGGGGCCAGGGCCAGGCAGGGAACAGCCAGGCCGGAAATGAAGTGGGCATGAAACACCACACTGTGTCCTGAAGCCTTTTACAATCACACCCACCGTGTGGGGAGCCTGCCAGTTACCTAATGGATCCGCTGACTTTTTTAGCAACTGGTTATATATGAAGTTGTTTTGGAGAGGGTGAACTTGCCTCTGCACTAAAGTTGGATCTACCAGAGGATCATCTGAGTATGGATTTCACATTTGCCTGACATTATATAAAATACCAATAGATAAAATGAGGATATTCTGGTGTAAAATGACAGAGTCTAACATGTAAAAAGAAAGCATCTATTTTGCTCTATCTGCTGTGCATTACCTTAGTGCAATTAGCTGCTTTGGGCTCCAGGTCGTTGAGTGTGACCAGCTCCCGGAGCAAGCTGCTCTCCTGGTAGCCTCCCTTCACTCCCCGCAGCTTGAAGTAGGCCTGGGGCTTGAAGAGGATGAGCCGCAGGTTGATGGCGAAGCCCGCCATGTCGATGGCAAAGGGCCGGTGAGGGTCGAACACAGTCTTCCAGCCGTACACCTTCCCTGCTGCGTTGACCTTGGGCGACTCGTAGCGCAGGCCGCCAACGAAGGCCACGGGCCATACAGATACCTTCCTTGTTGACCTCATCTGGATAGAGAGGAAGAGAGGACAGAGAGAGTTACGCATCTTTGCGCTGTTTGTATTTCTAATGAACAGGATCAGTGTGTCAGTGTCTATACGAGATGTGCCAACAAGGCAAGATACATTATAGTTTTCATTGCAAACAATTTTATAAATAGAGCCAGACAAGCTGAAAGCGACAGTTGCATGTATCACAGGAGCCATGCAGGCCCACCGTGATGGACCCAGCCCAAGAAGAGCAAACATGGACAGAACTAAGTGGGTTTGAGGACCAGGGCCATTATACAGAGTGGATGAGAGCAGGTTGGTTGAGGAGATGCTTGAAAGGTGCCTGGACTCTTCCGTTCCTCAGAGGCTCAGGTTTGTTCTTTAATCTTCCAGCATCAAACGATCTCCCGGCCGCCAGCTCTTTGTCGACTGTATTTCTGCACCACTGGCAGCGAGAAAGAGCTGCCCAAATAATGAAAGGAAGTGTTCTAATGAGGATGGGTGAACTGTAGAGTCATTTATACACACTCAATGCAGTAGAAATAATAGTGGTGCTGGTGTACTGTTGTGGAAGTGCTTTTTAAATGAGGTGTGTAGCAGAGAGAGGTGTGTGGTGGGTGGGACAACACTGTGGAAACAGGTCTCTGTGTGTCCCAATATTCTAGCCGTATCTGATGATTACCCATCAGCCCAAGGGATCAGAGCGGAGTTGTGTGTCTGTGTGAACAGGATGGAGATGGCCAGGGTTTATGAGTGAAGTTTGGAAACACATCTGGGCCACCGAGACCAGGACTCTGCCAGGCTAGCCACCCAGATAACATTTCACATGATAGTGTGTTAGGGATGACATCACCTTCTCCCAAGGGTCACATGTGATTTATGTTAATTAGAAAACAGACTTTTATCACAAGTTTAGATCATGCATCTTTCCAATGAGTGAAATAGCTGTTTTCCTCAAGGGTTTGGTTCTGGAATGAAACTGTCTCAAACATCGTCAGGGGGGTTGCCCCTCTCCCTCCATGCTACAATGTGAAAATTAATGTTTCCAAGGCTGCCACTAACGGGAATCAGTGCTAAAACGGCACCCAGTCTCTCCTCAGTTTAGAGCTGAGCTGGTGGAAATGCCATGAAGTGCTGCCCCATTTTTGTGGATTTGAAGTGTTTCCTTTTTTTTCTCTCTCTGTGTGTGTGTGTGTGTGTGTGTGTGTGTAAGCTATGTTTCTTTTATTGGGGCGAGGCGAGTGATGGGGGAGGCCCACAGAGACAGCTTGCCTATGTTCTTGAAGTCCGAGCACAACAAAGGAAACTAATCCCAAACTTTAAAGGGAGACGGGAGACATCCGGGTGTATTAATCAATCTGGAGCACAGGAGAGGGTGAGGAGAGTCTCTAAAGTGAGTTTTACATTTACATTTTAGTCATTTAGCAGACGCTCTTATCCAGAGCGACTTACAGTTAGTGAATACATATTTTATATATTTTTTATTTTCTGGCCCCCCGTGGGAATCGAACCCACAACCCTGGCGTTGCAAACGCCATGCTCTATCAACTGAGCTACATCCCTGCCGGCCATTCCCTCCCCTACCCTGGACGACGCTGGGCCAATTGTGCGCCGCCCATGAGTATCCCGGTCGCGGCCGGCTGCGACAGAGCCTGGATTCGAACCAGGATCTCTAGTGGCACAGTTAGCACTGTGATGCAGTGCCTTAGACCACTGCGCCACTCAGAAATAGGCTGATACTGCTATCGGGTGATTTATACTGCTATTGGTTGATTATCTGTCTTTAAGACATGGAATTGATGGCTTAATCCATAGAGAACACAGTAGAAAATGATTAGTTCAACTCCTAAACGGTGGCCCATTTTCATCAATACAATGATGCCTAAGCCAGAAGCAAATATCAAATACTTATTTTATGATCTAAAAAGGTATTCAACTGAGGTGATATATTCTATTCTAAGTGATCTGGTTGACATTGTTGAATGTGGATGCTGATAGAGAAGGATAGATATGATTAAAATAGAGGCAGGCGCTGCTGGTAAATATTCCTTGTGGCTTTGGAAAGGCAACATAAGCATTTTTTTACAAAAGCTTAATAATGAATGCACCCATTTTAGTCATTTAGCAGATGCTCTTATCCAGAGCGACTTACAGGAGCAATTAGGGTTAAGTGCCTTGCTCAAGGGTACATCGACAGATTTTTCACCTAGTCGGCTCGGGGATTAGAACCAGCGACCTTTCGGTTACTGGCACAACGCTCTTAACCACTAAGCTACCTGCCGCCCTGAGTGGCTAGCCTGGCAGAGTCCTGGTCTCGGTGGCCCAGATGTGTTTCCAATCACCCCTTTACAGTGATTTTCTAAAACTATGGCAGATGCATATTTCATCAGCTATTTTAATTTTCACAATTTACAGCAGAGTCTCTGCCCATGTCTCTCGACATGGAATGTTTCCCCATGGTTTGGTTTACTCTGGGTGAGAGCATCTGCTTAATGTAATGTAATGGAGCAATACCAGAAGGTTAGGTTGGCCATTACAGTTCCTTGCTGTACATATTTTATTCAGCTGTTGTATTTGTAACCCGTGTATCCACATCGAATTCATGCCATGTCTGGGCAAGAGTTCATGACATTATGAATTAGTTAATTTGTAAAAAAATTCATATTTCAAATGCCAGGTCAAGCTGAACAAGCTGGCATCTTTCCAGTCAGGTTAATTCATGTCCAGATCACAACAACATACAATCTCTTGGATGGATGTCTACTTTAAACCCCTTCACATGTAGCTGTTTTCTGCCTTATCTCCATAACCATCACCTCCATGACTTACACCTGTTAGCGGGTCTATGAGAATGGTCTGATATTTACTGCTCTGTCAGTTGTGTCGGAGTGGTTTCTCACTGAGTGGTTTCTCTTAAGTGATGGAAGGCTTCTAGGGATAGGGAGAGCACCCTGCCTGATTTCCAGGGAAAGGTAATGACAGGCCCATCGATACAGAGCGCATCATTTACAACCTGCCCCGTTCACACTAGCAAGACCTGAGGCTAATGCCCCAGGGCCCAACAGCATCCATTCAAGCCAGGCCAATGTGTCTTGAGTTAAAATGGATGGCCTGGGGCACTAATTACCAAGTTCAAACTTATCCTCGGACCACTGTTGTTGGTAATGGGAATCAAAATGCTTCAAGCAATAACCACAATCTATTACTACTAGGAGTAGGAGTAGCCACCATTCGATGTACTAAAATTGTTCCAAATTAAAATAAATGTAATTAATTCTTAAATTATGTGCTGTGAACTCCCCACTACTATTGTGATCAGTGTTACTAAAGTGAATCTAGTGGACCAGACGTGGCCATGAGATGCCAGTGCGCCCCAGGCCTGGACTGACCTCCTCAAACAGCTCCAGGCTATAGGTGTTGTCATCATCAGCGAAGTAGACAATGCCTGCCTGGCTGCTGTTGGAGTTGAAGGTCTCTCTGAGCCAGCGCAGTGCCAGGTTCCTCTGCATGGTGCCCCGGGGTATCCTGGGGTCCCGCGTGTCCCCACGCAGCTTATAGTTCCTGGGAGTCTCCACGTTCAGGTGGGTGTAGTTGAGGCCTGTTTCCCGGAGCATGCGTGTGACCAGTGGGGTCCTCCTCTGAGAGTCCTCCACCAGGATCCAGTGCAGGTTGGACACATGGAGGAAGGTGTTGGCCAGCCGCGTCAGCTCTGCCTTCTGGACCGGGCGGCTGTAGGTGGGGGTGATGATGTGGATGGTGGGCAGCACGTCGGACCATGGCGGCGGCCGCGTGTACACGTACTCCGTCCTCACCACCTCCACTATGTCCTTATCAGAGGAGCAGTACTCCTTAGAGTCGCTGGCCTGGCCTGCCTCCCGCCGCCCTCCGTCGGCTCCGTCATCTGCAGGGGAACAGGAAGACATGTAAGGCATTAGCACGCCCCAGGGCGGGGTTTCCCGCTGTATAATCTCAAGTGACACAATCCAAGAGGCAAGTACCTGCGAGTCGGTGTCGATGGACTGCAAGCCTCTCTGGTATGATAAAGATATCTTTTACTAGGTGGTGACAGGCTGCAAAGAGTGAAAGCAGGCAGCGTGAGGTGAGTGGACAACATGGCTACAGTATGGTTAGGGCAGCGGCTCCCCTGGCTGCCTCTACTCATTCAGCTGGAACAGCCGTGGCAGGGACAGGGTCTATTCCAGTAGTGGAGCTCTGATTACGTGGCCCCTATAGCCCTCTATGATGGATAGAATATCATTATTGGATCATTAAGGTAGTTAATTTCTCCCCACATTGTTCCATAGTTAATGGCAAACTTTATCAGTGCTCTGTTAGAGAGGAGGTTCTCACTTCAGACATAAAAATGATATTTCTGCATCACACAGCAGATTAACACAATCTCGTGATGGCCAGATGTTCTGCGGTGGCTGCCAGAAAGCATTCTTTGAAGGATTCAGTTGATTTGTGGAAACCTGCCTATTTTACATCCTACATTTCACCTTGATGGCAAATGGAAGGAGGCAAAGAACGCTATTGATTTACTGTCACCTTAAAGGCCCAGTGAAGTCAAATTTTAATGTTCCTGTGTTTTATATATATTTCCACACTGAGGTTGGAATAATGCTGTACAATTGTGAAAACGATGACAATGCTGTTTTAGTATAAGAGCTGTTTGAAAAGACCGCCTGAAATTTCAGCCTGTTTTGGTGTGAAGGAGTTTTGGCCTGCCTGGTGACATCACTAGGCGGTGTAAGTTAAAAGGCCAATAAGAAAGAGAGTTTCAAACCTCTCTGTCAATAACATCTAGTTTTCAGGTTACATATCCCTCCCATTAGGCTCGTCCAATTAGGCCCCTCACTCAGACCACTCCCAGACAGTCCTAGCAAAATCCTTGATTGAGAAATTGCTATTTTTTACCATTTTAATTGAAAAAGCTAACAGTAAGGTACTTAATTGTTACCCAGAAAGGATTTGATATTGAGATAAAAACAGCTGCATTGGGCCTTTTTAATATGGTTCTGTTCACCAGACAGAGTACTGTACTTGACATATCACACATTGGTTTATTATGGTCACTTGGGGTCACAATGTGAGTGTGAGATAAAGTCTCAGGCTTGTGTACAGTATGTGGGAGCCACATAATCACATTGACACAGAATATTCAATAAAGCCTGCCTGGAAGCCATCAGGGAGCACATATTATTATTTCAGATGCTGATTAAAGGGCATTAGAAATTAATCTAGTCTCCTTTTTGATTTGAAAAGTCTGCTACAGTTTAACTGCTAAAAAGATTAGCTGAATGACTGCTGAAGACCATATGCTGAGTGTAAATTAGCTTTACTCCAACCACAAGCTGCGGATGGTGGCTGTGCGAATCAAAGGACACTTACCAAGAAGTGGATAGCCTTAACAGACAATTGACCTATATTACAATATGATGAAGCAGACCCTGTGGAAGGCATGTGTTGGACTGTATGTACTGTACCATGATGTTCTGTGACTGGGCATGTGACTGAATTGGAATTGGCTATTGAATAGTCCTACACCATGCAACAGAGGACTTATGACAAAGCGGAGGATTGAGTATGTACCCTTGCGGATGGCGAGCAGCGGAGCGATTGCGCTTTGGTGCCAAACGGTGATGAGCAGAGTCCACGGTAACACTATCAACACGATGGCAAGAATGTCTCTTCTCTTCGGCATCTCCAGGATTGGTTTTATGTCTCTTCATTACCTGCCAGGAGAGAGGAGGAGCGACAAACATGTCAACAAGGGCCACTAGCTAAATTATCCACTCTGCATTTTATTTCAAGATGTGGTGGCTTGGCTGAGAGAACCACTAACTTATTTTACCATGAGGAAGGTGACAGTCTTTTAGCACAGTGACATAATACCATGTAAATTCTGTTTATCTTCCCGGCGTATAAATACTCAATTTATACACATGCTGTCAGGCAAAAGGCTTAATTTCCTAAGTGTGAATGCATCTGACACAACATAAGCCCCATAAAAGCCTTCCACTGATAAAGAAATGGGTCAAGAAGAGTTTTAAGCAGTTTTATTCTGCCTCAGTGGAGAGTAGGCAGAGGGAAGTCCTCAGTGGAAATTGCCATTGTTGTGCTGCCTGAGTATCTAGAACTGTATACAGCAGTGGAGGCTGCTGAGGGGAGGACGGCTCATAATAATGGCTGGAATGGAGTCAATGGAATGGCATCAAACACATGAAAACCATGTGATTGATGTATTTGATACCGTTCCACTTATTCCGCCGCTCCAGCCATTACCACGAGCCTATCCTCTCCAATGAAGGCGCCACCAGACTCCTGTGGCGGGCACTATCTGGAACAAATCATTTCAATTATTTTTGCATATGCACATTTCATTGCTTTGGAATATCAGTGATTGATTAGACTGATGGATCAATGTGTTTCTGCTGTGGAAGGAATCCATGCTGTGAGACTAATATGGTATCTTGCACTCATTAAAGCCTGTCATAAACAGACCTATGGCCATATTACAACAATGGCTGTAATGTATTGTGCTAAACATGTTGATGATTATGGTAAATGACTATGATTCCTCACCCACGGTTAGAACTGGATCATGGCACCATCAGAGGTGCAGCTGGAGGAGCCGGGGCCGCACAGCAGCAGCACGTGGAGTAGAGTGGTGTGGTCGTCCACGACATCTCAGCCAGCCATGCCTCCTCCTCACACAGCCAGGAAACACCACCCGGAGGCCTGGATGGAAGACAACCGGCCATGGCTTAGTCACCGCATGATGACATCAGTCAGTCACGTTACAGGAAGACATGACATCAGTCACATTAGGGTGCCATTCAGACCAACTCTAGGCTTCAATAACTGTACTCAAGTATCTGACAAGGTTGCCTATCAAATCTAATCAAATGTTATTTGTCACATGCGCCGAATACTTACTTAGAAGCCTGTAACCAACAATGCAGTTCAAGAAATAGAGTTAAGAAAATATTTATTAAATAAACTTTTTTTTTTTTTAAGTAACACAATAAAATAACAATAACGAGGCTATATACGGGGGGTACCGGTACCGAGTCAATGTGCAGGGGTACAGGTTAGTCGAGGTAATTTGTACATGTAGGTAGGAGTAAAGTGACTATGCATACAGTGCTATGAAAAAGTATTTGCCCCCTTTCTAATTTTCTCTACTTTTGCATATTTGTGATACTGAAGTTTTCAAGCATGAACTGCTCGTTTCAAGTCCTGCCACAACATCTCAATTGGGATTAGGTCTGGACTTTGACTTGGCCATTCCAAAACTTCAAATTTGTTGCTTTTTAGCAATTTTCATGTAGACTTGATTGTGTGTTTTGAATCATTGTCTTGCTGCATGACCCAGCTGCGCTTCAGCTTCAGCTCACAGACGGATGGTCTGACATTCTCCTGTAGAATTCTCTGATACAGAGCAGAATTCATGGTTCCTTCTATTAAGGCAAGTCGTCCAGGTCCTGAGGCAGCAAAGCATCCCCAAACCATCACACCACCACCACCATGCTTGACCTTTGGTATGATGTTCTTACTGTGGAATGCAGAGTTTGGTTTTCGCCAGGCATTACTGGAACTATGTCGTCCAAAAAGTTATACTTTTGAATCATCTGTCCATAGAACATTCTTCCAAGAGTCTTGATGATCATCCAGGTGCTTTTTGGCAAACTTGAGTTCATGCTTGAAAACCCACACGTCACTGAGTTAAAGCAGTTCTGCATGGAAGAGTGGGCCAGAATTCCTCCACAGCGACGTGAGAGACTGATCAACAACTACAGGAAGCATTTGGTTGGAGTCATTGCAGCTAAAGGTGGCACAACCAGTTATTGAGTGTAAGGGGGCAATTACTTTTTCACACAGGGGAATTGGGTGTTGCATAACTTTGTTTATGAAATAAATGAAATAAATATGTAATTGTTGTGTTATAAACTGGCCAATAAAAAGAAAAGATTAAGATGGGCAGTCTGAGATATGGCTTTTTCTTTGCAACTCTGCCTAGGTCAGCATCCCGGAGTCGCCTCTTCACTGTTGATGTTGAGACTGGTGGTAGCAAGAATTTTGTATAATAATTTAAATTGAAAAATTATACGTTTTGCGTATCAGTTCATAAACACTATGCCATGGTATCGGTACATCAATCTCTTCCCAACTATTTTGCAATCTATATGGGACGGCTGACAATCCTTTGATCCTTAAATGAAACTGGTATACTTTTTTATTTATCACAATTTTCTTTAACCAATTATGTTCTTTAATGCAGGGCCGACAGTCAAGTTCCTTACTTTTTCCCCCTTCCACTTTCCTCTTCCATTTAGCTGTATGTGCGACATAACTCCACCAGTCCTACCTATGATATAATTTACAAAGATAACTTTTTTCAAAAAAATTTCAAAAAATAATGTTTTTTTATCAATTAGTATATTTGAGTTTAACCACAATATTTGTTGCTTTATTTGATCTGTCGTTTCTGGAGGATTCAATTGAAATTGCAACCAACTTTCTATTAGAAATAGTGATATTTGGGAGATGATTTCCTTTTCAAATAACTGAAAGTGAGAGGTTGTAATCTGAATAAAGGGGAAAAGGCCATTCTTGAACATGGGGTGAGACAATCTTACTAATTTGCTAGAGAACCAGTTCGGATTTAAGTATAACTGAATATTTTAGTGATAGGTCTAATGTTTTAATATTTAATAATTTCTGTCCTCCGAATTCATATTCATTATATAAATAGGCCCGTTTAATTTTGTCTGGCTTGCCGTTCCAAATAAAATTGAATATATTTTTTCCATATAATTTAAAAAACGGTTTGCTAGTAGGCAAGACCATATGCAAATAGGTAAACTGGGATAATACTAAAGAGTTAATCAGGGTGATTTTTCCACAAATAGACAGGTATTTACCTTTCCATGGTAGCAAGATCTTATCTATTTTTGCTAACTTTCTATTAAAATGTATTGGAGTGAGATAATTTATTTCATTTGGGATATGTATTCTGAGTATATCCACATCACCATCAGACCATTTTATTGATAAACTACATAGTAATGTACCATTTTAATTTTTTAGTGATCCAATACGTAATATAGTACATTTATCATAATTGGGTTGTAATCCAGAGAGGTTACAAAATGTATCTAGATCCTCTATGAGGCTGTGGAGGGATTTAAAAGAAAACATGAATCATCAGGGTCCTTAGCTTAGTGATGAGCTTTGTGGGCACTATGGTGTTGAATGCCTATCAATCTACCTCGGCTGCATGTGCATCCACAATGTAATATCCCTGTCTCAACCATCACAGAACTACTGTTCAAGAGCAGGAGCAGCAGAGGACTACAGTACAGAACTCCAATCAGGACTAACGTCATTCCCCACTGGGCAAAAACTGATTGAATCAACTTTGTTTCCATGTCATTTCAACCCAAAAAGTGTATGTGATGACGTTGAATCAACATGGAAAATGTATTGGATTTGCAAAAAGTCATCAACATAAGGGCATTTTACCTAAATCCAATGACACAGTGACATTTTTTGTTGATTTCATGTTGAATTCAGGTTACTTGACAACTCAACCAAATGTAAATCAAAACTAGACGTTGAACTGAACTCTGTGCCTATTGGGTTCTGTTTACAGTAGGAATCTGTGGCAGTGACAGGTTGTTTCCATACTGGGAGAAAAGCGTACAGCCATGTCACTTGCTAAGAGTCTGGTGCTGTGGATGGAGAATGGTGATATGAAACAATTAGCATCCTATCTCATCCAAAATCATAGGAATGAATGAATGAATGCCACAGAACGCTAAACTGAGCCACGTTTTCTGTGTAGGCTGCAGCTCAAATATTGTTCGGCTGCAGATGCGACTGGGTGTATATTTTTAAACGCTTTGTGATGAAAGATCAAATGAACTGCAAAGATGTTTTTTGTTGTTGTTCAGAGCGAACAGCAGGGGCCCAGTCTTATTGAGGCATAGTATAAATGCAAATGGCCTCTGACCCGGTAATTTGGTAGGGAGGGTATATGCTTGATGTGCACAAGATTTCACAACAATCTCTCCTTACAATGACCCAGCTCATCTAATTTACAGACATGTCACAAATTGAAGAATGTCTTCTGAGAATTCAGACCAATCAAATGGAAGGATGACAACCAGGAACACTATTTTGAATGGACGACTGGAAGTGCAACAGATGGATAATACTTCACTGTATTGACAAAAATAACCATGCTTGCTGCTATTGTCACTGCATCCATGCTCACAAAACACAGTGATGTAGGGTATATGTATCTCAATGGGAGTGCTGCATGAACACCTTCCATTTCCTCAGCTCGACACAACCAAGACATTGTACAGCACAACAACCTGTCAACATTTCAGTCCGTCAAAGAGAACTAGAAAACAGATGCATCCTGACAGCCTTCAGCTTCTCTCTACAGTGTTATGTTATAAATCTTAATTGAATAGGATGAACAAGCTACGGTCTTAATCATCAAGAAATCATTAGAAAAACTCAATACCAGGTAGACTAAATAGTAGTCCCAGCTCAATACCAGGTAGACTAAATAGTAGTCCCAGCTCAATACCAGGTAGACTAAATAGTAGTCCCAGCTCAATACCAGGTAGACTAAATAGTAGTCCCAGCTCAATACCAGGTAGACTAAATAGTAGTCCCAGCTCAATA